ATTAGTTCTTTGTTATTACGATGAGAATTTTGAATCTGAAATGTGTACCCGAGAGTTGTGGGACTCACACTTGGGTTTACTTGAGGGTACTTGTGAGTGCGTCTGCGGGTACTCACATGAGTTGAGTGTGCTTGTGAGTGTGTCTGGGGGTACTCACGGTGATTTGAGTGTGCACGTGAGGAGTGTGACCTTCCACTGTGTTCCCTGGGCCAGACGCCTTGTCGAGCGGGCCGCCCAAGGTCCCGCCGGTGGCCAAGTTCAACCAGTTCACGCGGGACGTCGGCGAGAGCTTCGCTGTGTTGTGTGAGGCACAAGGCTTCCCCGTCCCCGCCTTCAGGTAAGACACGCTGCGGGCACACCTCCCCTATGTATGTGTGGGTGTGTACCTACTCGCCTAAATGTGTTTCGTTATCGAACACTAGCTCTTGAGCCCCGCCTTACCAGTTGTTTGTTTAACTGCCGGTCACCACAACCAATAATCATATTAACTTTTATCGCTTCCTCTAGTTTAATCCATTTACTCGCTACCTTTAGGCTAAACAGTTTTTCTAACTATCAAAGTAGATAGGTGTACCATTGTTCATGTATCACCCATTCCAAATTTTATGTCATTGTCGGCTCTGTCTGTTCCCCTGGTAATCTTGTATGTGGTAATCACGTTTCCCAGAATTCAATCTTCCACTTATTTGGTTTAATTCCTTTAGTCCTTCCTCGTATTTCATACGTCTGGGACACGGTTGGTGCCATTCCTGTGTACAAGAGTGGGAGTGGGAGAGTGGGAGATGGAGAGGGAGGGGGAAGAGAGGGGAAAGAGATGGGGGGGGGGGGTGGCCGGAGGGTAGAGGTGAGGAGAGGTGGGATCCGACTAAGGCTTCTCACCACCAGCATCCCGGGTTATCCCGCAGCATCCCATCCCGTGCTACACTAACTTACAAATAACTCTCGTGGAACTATCTTCAGAAACTTGAGGCAATTAATATGATATTTCACGAGTAATATCGGTGTAAACAGAACCGATGTGTGGGATTGTATCGGGACAAATCACTACAGGGAAGCCACGTGAAGTCATAGAATATACCGAACCCCTCGGTATACGGCAGCGATACTCGGTTTATGTGGAGTGTGTGTGTATGTATGTGTGTGTGTTTGTGTCTGTGTTGTCATTGATGTTCGTGGTGGAAGATGAGGTGGCGAGCGGGCCGCCCAAGGTGCCGAGACGGGCCCAGTTCGACAAGCTGTGGAGTGCGGCCGGCCAGGCAGTGACCCTCCTGTGTGAGGCTCAGTCGCATCCCATCCCCTCCTTCAGGTTAGTCACCTCGCTCCCTTCGCCGTCTTTGGTTAGTCATGTCATCTTACACCCAGAATCACAGGCATGGCTCCAGATCAGCCAGGCCTCTTTCAACGAAGCCATTTCAGTGGCCCACCTCGAGTCATTTCACATTGAGGAATACAGCATTAAACTCCAGGTCAGTGCATTTCAGCTGGTTTACTTCTCTATGATGAGAAGGCATGGCGCTAAAGTAAAGGGTGTAGAGTGATCAGTGTACCTTCAGTGTAGCGGGTGTGTGAGGTCAGTGTGCCTTACATTATTGCGGGTGTAGAGCGGACACTGTCTTCCCATAGAGCCGTACTCGAGCCAGCCGCCCAAGGCATCAGGACCCCGCGGGGACCTGCTGGTGAAGCAGGTCGACTCGGACTTCGCACTCCCTTGTAGTGTCCAGGCCTTCCCCCTCCCAGAGTTCAGGTGAGGCAACACTCGGCACTCATTAGAGTGTACACAGGTGAGAAGAAACTCAAAACTCACTGGAGTGTATAAACTAAAAATTTACTGTAATCTGGAACTATGTATTCCTGCTGGTTGGTGAGAATGTTATTATAGTGGCTTTGGCAACCCTCCCACAGTTGATAAGCTTTAAGTCCAACACCAGACCAAGCGAGCGTGTGTGTGTGCTGAGCTTGCGTTTCAATCTGGTTGCATGTTGGTTCAGTCCTCTTTGAAAACTGCTTACCAAGTCATGTAAGTTACTTGAAACATTCATTATTGACAGAATGTTTTGGTGAATATTATGTTCACAAAATTCATTGTCTTTGGAGCATTTGACAAAGTGAATAACTGAATATTTTGTGGAGTTGTGGTAAGTACTGAACATCTGTGTTGAAAGCACAACACTTCCTTGGCTGTCAACCTACGTTCATGCATGTTGTGGGGTTGCTATAGAATCATTTACGGTATAACGGAGATACTACCTTCCTTGTGTCTACCTTGTGTTGGTTCCGGGAGTCAGTGTCCCCAAACCCGTCCGATTTCTTACCAGGTCTCTCTGTTGGTGGCCTGGTCAACCAGGCTTAGATGCCGCTTCTCGCAGTCTGACTTATGAATCCCAGTCTGGTTGATCGGATAGCCTTTGAAGGTGTTTAACATTTTATTTTTTGAACACCGTGAGCGGTCGGCTATTTGTGCCCACTTGTGTATAGTAGGAGTGCTAATCAATCTTGGGCCCTTGCAGTAGATAGAGGATAGAGTAGTAGTAAAATGTTTGGTACATACAGTGATTGTATAGGGTTAGTGGTGGATGTTGAGTAGTGTCGGATGTGCCATGGTGTTATGGTGTGGTTTTAGCTGTTAGTAATATGTATTTTCTAATATAGCTATTAGTAATATGTATATCAGAAACTCTCCTGCTACTACTGCATATATTACCTTGCCTGCATTATGGTGTCTCCACGCCCTTCCACACACTGGTCACCTTGTTTCACTCTAGTGCTGGTAGGGTAGGGTAATTATGAGGAGAAAGCGCTAAGCCAAGATATACGACTTTGACAGGAAATGAAGACAAGGTATTGGAATAGGATGGAGGAAAGGAACGGTGCCTTTGAACCGTTTTAAGCCATTTAGACCGTCGGGTATCGAACGCCGACTTGCAAGAAACGAATTTTTTGGTCTACCAACCGATTCATCTGAGCAAATTATAGATTTATTTAATTTAAGGGGTTTTCTGCTAATTTTTTTTAAATCAATTAAATAGTAAATAACAATTGATAAACTCTTTATCACAGTAGCAAGTCACCAGAATGTTTTGTAATGTTAATATTTGTTTTGTATGAGCTATGCAGTCTATAACATGTGGAGGGAAAACGGGAGTCCGTATTGTTTATCGGTGACCTTAGCAACTCTTCTACGACCCGAGTGAGGCGAGCTGTTTACCTACGTTATTCAGCTACGTTAATGTGACTCGTCGTCTCCTTACCGTCATATGCTTGTAACCCACGATCAATAGCGGTAAATATAATGGATTTCGGGGGTTTAGAGCGTACGTGCTTGCGTCTGTATGTGTGTGTGTGTGTATGTATATACATGCATGCATGTCTGCGTATACATACTCATGAACCTAGATGAATATGCTTGTGTGCAGAGCCACTCTCCAGCGAGTCACCCAAAGTGTCAGGTGAGCGAGGAGTAACCATGGTGAGGTCAGCAGGTCATGGTTTCTCCCTGCTGTGTCCGGCCCAGGCTCACCCAGTCCCCGCCTTCAGGTCAGTCTCTCTCTCTCTCAATCTACACACACACACACACACACACACACACACACACACACACACACACACACACACACACACACACACAGAGAACAGAAGAGTAAGGGGAGACATGATCACTACCTACAAAATCCTCTGGGGGTATTGACAGGGTAGACAAGGATAAACTATTCAACACTGGAGGTACGCGAACAAGGGGACACAGGTCGAAACTGAGTACCCAAATGAGCCACAGGGACGTTAGAAAGAACTTTTTCAGTGTCAGAGTAGTTAACAGGTGGAATGCATTAGGCAGTGATGTGGTGGAGGCTGACTCCATACACAGTTTCAAATGTAGATATGATAGAGCCCAGTAGGCTCAGGAATCTGTACATCAGTTGATTGACGGTTGAAACTCGGGACCAAAGAGCCAAAGCTCAACCCCCGCAAGCACAAATAGGTGAGTACAATAAGCGAGTACACACACAGGACTCTTGGCAGGATCTAAGAGTCAATGCTCGATCCTGCAGGCACAAATAGGTGAGTACACACCTGCTACTGCCAGTTGTCCACATCTGCCCAATAGCTTTGCAAAGTATAAAAGTTAGCAGTATGTAAAATGTTCCCGGTAACGGGAAGCCGACGTTGTGTAAGTCTTCTTGCATATTGTTTTTACCTTCAGGTCACCAAGACAAACTTGCCTCACTCTCCTGACACAGGTATTCACGGGTGTTTACATTTAGTGGGTAAGATCTAAGTTTGCGGTTGTCTTCTGATGCAAGCGTTAGTCATCATTGTTGTTCCTCATAATACCTCATTCTCATTCACATCATAGTTTGGCAAATCCTGTGTTCGTGGCCTAGTTGGAGAAGAACTAGATAAGTGTTTGGGAGGAGAAATAGCGTGGAGGCATAATGAGGGGTATGACTACATGGAGGAGTGGGCCGGGGTGTTAAAAAGGGGTCGGGGCGGTGTGTGGCGTAGTAGAATGTGAGACAGTAATTGCTTGTGTACTGACTCTTCTCTATTGGTTTTGACACGCCCCATGTTGATGCCAACTGTCTCTGGAACATCTTGAGCGATCACAGGTCATCAGAAATTTACCGCAATCCATCACTGAAATTTTTTCACGTTAGCAGTGATAGGCATTCCAACGTTGTGTCTGAATACCGGGTCTTTCAAGACGAAACCTTCCACTCCCGTGTTCTGGTGCTCCTATCGACTACAACGTGCAGCTTCGCACGCCTCTCATACGAAAAATTCGATCTCGATTCATTCACTAACATGCAAAATTTGTCGCCACTTTAAGGGGCACGTAAACACGAATTTTACGGTTTGTATAGTCAAACAAAGGTTGTCTACCCTTCAACAGAGCGTCGAAGTACCACGGTGTTACTCTCCCAACACTCGGGCATAAAAGATTTCATTCACTGTAGATTCTTTAACGATAAATAAACTTGCTTATAATTTATTCATGACTTCAGAGCCGTTTTCTAGTGAATCTCCTAAAATCTCTGGCGCCCGGGGGGAGAGTATCGTGCGGAAGGCGGCCTCGGGCTTCGCCGTGCCGTGTCGCGCCCAGGGCTTCCCCGTTCCGGAATTCAGGTTAGTTCACTTCGATCTGCCGTTTTTCCTTCGTTAGACAGGACGGAGAAAGTCTGGACGAGACAAATTATTCGAGCATGTCTACGGTGATAATGATAATGTTCGTCCCTCGGAATCGAAGATGACTATGGCATGGCTACGGTGTTAATACTGTTTTAAGGGCCGGACAAAGACATCTAGAAAGTTACACCAGCCCGTCCTCCTAGGGTTTCCTAACGTTAAGAAAATGGTCAAATTAAACTGTCCTCTCCTTACCTACCAGAGGATCCATAACAGAAAACGGGACAGTACGTAATTTTCGCGAGTCGCTTCCATTTTGAAGTACGACAATGATTTGGTTTATGTAACGCATACGAACGAAATGCGACGTTCTTTGCAAGAGGACAGGTTGGTTGCAGATACACAAACCCGACATTTAGGGGCTCCATATAAACAAATTAAACACGATAAAACAATTACGTGTTGTCTTGGGTATCAGAGCCGTTCTCAAGCGAATCACCGAAGGTGGCTGAAGGCGCCCGGTTCGACAACTTCTTCAGACAGCAGGCCTCCTCCTTCGCCCTCCCCTGCAGGGCTCAGGGCTTTCCTGTCCCCGAGTTTAGGTGAGTTAAGGGCCGCGGTAAGACCGAGGTAGCCAACTGGTATTAATGTTATAACGATGTAGAGTGTCTTCATTGGATGCATTTATGCATATGAAACATTCAACTGTAATCAGGCCATCGTAGGCGAAGACTCTCAAGATACATCACAATTTGTTGCAAGAATGTCAAATCAAATTGGGACGTGAGTACGGCAGAGGCAATAATGCAGCCTATCCCAACATGAGCTGGCAACAGTCTCACAATAGTAGGTGAGCTTAACATGCGGAGGCTTTGTCTGGTGGATCCTCAGAGCCTGTGTCCAGTGAAGCCCCCAGAGTGGCGCCGGGGGCCCTGGGGTTCCTGATGGTGCAACGGGAAGGGACGGGCTTCTCTCTCGCCTGTCCCGTCCAAGGCTTCCCTCTCCCGGACTTCAGGTATACAGCTCCACCTGCTGGTGTTAGGAAGTTACTAGCAGTACACTAGTAGTAGTAGTAGTAGTAGTAGTAGCAGTAGTAGAAGTAGTGAATATTTTGAATAATTGGTTAATAAGGTAGGTTTTGTTTAGGAATCCTTAGCGGCGACCTTCATGGAGACATCAGCCATGAAGCTACAGGTGTCGCGTTGCTGAAGTGCTGATCTTTGTTTACAGGGTATTAAGAATCCCCGGTGAAAAACTTAATTTTTTTTCGTATTTCTTTGTTATTTCCTCAAGATTTACGTGCACTGACTTAAGAACATCTCATCACATATCCTTGAAATTTAAATGATTTAGGTATTACCGGAAAGTACAGTTGCTTTTCAAATTTGGTGGGGAAATTCATTGGTAACTCTTGGGACATTTTTATTGATTGGTACTTGTTTTTTTTTTTGTTAAATCTCGAATGCTTTATTTTATTGATTTGAAGCCAAAAAATCCATGCAAGGGTTGCTTAGGCCTATGGAAGTAATTTTTAAGAGTAATTTTTGCGTGAGAAACTTTTCTTTCCCACAACCGCTAAACTTGAAAACGAAACTTGGCGTGGGGCATACCAAGAGTTTCTCACCACTCTGGCCAACCCTCATTCTCATTAGGTTTATCTTCTTATTTTCTTCTGTTCTCTGTCTGGGCCGCGGAGACGTTGATTCTCGGAATCATAAAGATCTTGAGAATCATCAGAAGGTAACCAAGGTAACGCCAGCTAATCACCCACACTATGAGTCATCTCTTCTACTCGCCGCTCACACCCACCACCCGTGTGTTACCCTACTCACTCGTCACTCGTCCACACCCCTACTCGTCCAGACCCTTACTCGTCCAGACCCCTACTCGTCTACACCTCCATAACCGCCCACACTGTTCCTCAAAGAACAGTGTGGGCCGATTACCCAGAACACAGTTAAATGTATCTTATGGAGCCCCTTTTCTGAACAAATACGAGGAGATAATCGACTCAATGCTTTCCATCCTCAAGTAATGGGCCCTATTGTCTTGTTGGGCCACAGAGCCTTTCCTCGGTATGGTAATGGGACTGGGACGAGAATTTGCTCTGATCACAGGCACGTGCAGCGGTGGGCAGTGGTTGATTGTAACTTTGACCAGTAAACGTCAGGAGAGGTATAGTATGATCAACAAGGCAGGTCGGCCCTATCTCATCTTTCTCTCAGACATGTATGCAGTGAGACACCCGACCACTCTTTCTGTAATTAATCCTGACATTTTTATTTGATTTTTATCAAAATTCCTCTCATGTTCAGAGCCGTTCTCGAGTGAGTCGCCAAAGGTGGCATCGGGCGCCAAAATAGACTCCTACACCTGGGGTATTGGGAAGGCCTTCGCCCTTCCCTGCAAAGTCCAAGGGTTCCCCGTCCCAGAGTTTAGGTGAGTCCCGCTGATTGCTTCCCCTGGGCTACGCGGATCCTTGTCGTAACCTATTTTAAACTGTTATGCTGTCGTCTCACTCAGGTGACAAAATTATCAGCAAACATGTACCTCATTTTTGTTAATATATATGAGGCATTGACAATAAGTACGACATGACTAAGGAACAACACAGACATTATTCCCTGTCTGTGACACGACGCCAAGGGCGAAGCAATGTTCATAGTATCATCCATGCAGTTGCTGGCCAAACTCCAATCTGTTCTCTTTATAGCACGTCGCATTTTGACATATACTTTACCTAAGGCCAAAAACTGTCGTACTAGAAAATGGTAGCGACTCGCGAAATTGACATAATGTCCCGTTTTATGTTCATGGGGCCTCTGGGTAGGATAGTGCACTTTAGTACGTCAGTTTCTTGAAGTTGGGAATGCTGGCGAGAACGGGCTGCAAACTCAGAGGTGCTTAAGCTCACCGACAGTGTCATGTTAAAAAACACAAACAGTGACCTATCACAAGTAAAAAAAACTAAGAAAAATTGGTCTGGGTAAAAATATTTCAAACAGGATATATTTAACCAATAATCATAGATTTACAGCACTTTCTTTCTGGCGTTTAAATATTGCTGAACATTACCTGCTGCTTTTAAATCTGAAAAAAATACTGGTTTGGAGAATGTATTTAGGACATTTATTGACTGAATTCTTTTAAGCATTATATTTCTCGCTTGCTCTTAACGAAATATAATGTGCACCTGGAAAATGAGGAATTGATTCCATATCTGCATATTGCAATAATTCCTTATGACGTCAGAAGGCATGGCAAAGTGTGCAAAATAGCCACATTCTAAAGCAGAGTGCAGGAATTATCAATAGACTGTGTTGAGAAAAGAAAATTACCCTAAAAATGCTCATGATCAGCCAGGCTGTGATATCTACGTAGGAGTGTGAGTTACAGGCACCACCGGTAGACCTGGCTAGTGACCTGGCCCTGGAAGCACTAATCCATGGAATCACTTATAGGTAAGCAAACTCTGGCAAGGAATTGTTTTCTTGATTTCATGAATGATGTCTCGTAATGTTTTTAAATTATATATATATACATTTAATATATATATAAATATAAATATAATTTATTGTTTCTTATAGATTGGCATTAGGGAGGGAATCCGTCCAGTTTTGAACAGGGGGGAGAGGGGACCGATCAGGAGGTATCGCTGGGATCTTACCGATCCCTCCCGGTCGTGAGAGGGTATCCATCCAGCAGGGGTCGTGGGAGGGCACTCATCCAACAGGGGTCGTGGGAGGGCATCCGTCTAAAAGAAGTTGTTGGAAGGACAGATGAATTCGCTCCCTCTCAGCACTGATTGCATGTGCATTCTATAAATAAATCCGACAATCAGAGCTCCAAGTAATACAGTAATCCACGGGCAAACTATATGTTTTGTGTTGGTGTTCAGAGCCGTTCTCGAGCGAGTCGCCAAAGGTGGCAGAAGGCGCCCGGAGCGACACGTTCTTCAGGCGTCAGGGCTCCTCCTTCGCCCTCCCCTGCAGGGCACAGGGATTCCCGGTCCCTGAGTTTAGGTGAGTCTGACGCTAACTTCTGTTCAATTGCTACATTTGTAAACATGTAAACAAATATAATAATGTTTAATGAAAGTCGAAATGCTACCGCCATTTATCAAATGGATACGAGGAGAAGCATTCGTGGATTTGCAATTCGCAGCCATGCGAGCATCTTATAAAGTTTTAGTGTCATAACAATTCTCTAAATAACTGAAAAAGAAATTCATCTTTAAACTGACCATTCGGAAACAACCCATCATCACAAACCATCATCGGAATCTGTATCGGAAACAAACCATCAAGTGTGCAAGATTGGCAATTATTGTAGATTTATGAACTTGCAGTGTGAACACACCAATTAAAGGTGCTTTCTTCGACAGCTTCAGTAAGATTGTCACCACTTACATCTGTAATTGGCGGCATTAAAGAGGGATTTAGGTTTCAAGCGCTGGCTCTTCACCGAGCTTGTGATGAAGTGACTTATGTACATGACCCGTAGCTCTTCCGTAACTGTGTGCAATAAAATGATTCTAAGTATTTTGTCAATGTTATCGTATTTGGATGCACAATCGTATATTGCAGCTCAAAACCTGCTTGTTTTAATGAAAATTCGTCAACTCGTCAGATGTTCGTGTCGTCATTTCTTGGCGGTCGCAAGATCTTGTATGTGTATATGGGGTGAGCCAGGACATTACCTGTGATGCACACAGTACATCGTGATAGTTGTGCAGTGTTTATCTAAACATAGAGTGCACATGTTTATCACCAGTGGAGAAGTGTTCGATGACTTCACAACCCCAAGAAAAATAGTTGGCGAACCCTTTGTTGGAAACTCTTGGTTCCAACAATGGGTAGAGTTTCGAGATTCACTGCTGTGCTGTGAATCGGGATTCACAGCACAGCAGTGAATCAAAATGATTAAAAAATGCTGTGTTTCGGGAATCACATTTCGCACAAATATCACATTTCGTTTCGCATGTGGAATTTGTTTTTCGT